CGAATTTGAGGCTGGTAAAGATTGAAGGGTCGCGGATAACGCACAACACCATTCCAAACAAGAACACTAACAGAGCCGACGGAATCGCGGACAACATCCTCAATCTACGGTCGATGTTTCGCTTAGATCGCGACAATTCAACATCAACTTCATCATCGTCACTTTCATCCATACAATCCAAACCTCGAACATCTGTGGAATCGTCGTCCCCAGACCCAGTACACAACACAAGGAACAGAACAGCAGCAATCGCAAGGACAAGGCCGTCGAGGCCGAGCCACGGCCTCGCGGGCCCGGACTTGGAGGTGACGAAGTCCTGATCATACCTTATGTACTTGATCGCGGAGAAGGCGAAGGCCAGGCCCTGCGACAGCTGGACGCCGCGTACGACGGGGAGGGGGATGTAGCGGTAGAAGAAGGACATGAGGCCGGTGGCGCCGAGGACGAGGAGGACGGCGGCGGTGGAGAGGCCGGCGGCGGCGATCTGGGAGGGGGAGAGGTGGGGGGACTCGGAGACGGCGACGGCGGCGATGGACTTCATGGGCTGGACGGGCATGGGGATGCCGAAGAGGACGCCGGTGGCGACGTTGTAGAGGGCGGTGAAGATGAGGGTGGTGGAGAGGTCGAGGTGGGACACCAGGGTGAGGGTCAGGACGATGGGGATGTAGGTGCCGAGGTCGCCGACGGCGCCGGAGAGCTCCGAGGAGAGGGCGGTCTTCAGGCGGAGGTGGCGGCGCCACCGGCCGTCGAGGAGGAGGGGCGTGGTGTCGGCGGCGGAGGGGGAGGAGGGGCGGCAGCGGCGGTGCGGGTCGGACGGCGGGTCTTCCATGGTGGCTGTCGAGCCGTGTGCGCGATCGAGCGAGGACGAGAGATATCGTTTAGTTCATATCGTGTCGGTCGGATACTTGCGGCTCTTCGTGGATTGGTCGGGGCTTAATGTGGCAAATCTCCCCAAAGGAGAAAGTTCTCCCTCCGTGATTACACTTGAGTACACTTTTTGTTGGTGCCGTATCATCGTACCGTGTCGGAAATTACCTCGCCCGATTCATACAAGAGCGTCCGACATCCAAAAATGACCGGACCCTTATAATCGATGCGATGTCATTGTAGAGCTCGGTGTCGGTCAATTTTAGTATCGTTAAGTGGTCATTCAAAGAAAAGCCTGTTGATGAATACTAACAATCGACACGACACGGATGTAAGGTCAGGTGTCGAGCGATTGGGCTATCGATAAGATATTAAGGGCAAAGGAGCATGTCAATGATCATGAATATCGACGATTACGATCGGTTGGCGATTGACACTCGGTAAATTTAGCTAAGTGGTTGAGGCGGAAAACTAAAAGCGATGAAGATGCCGATTGGGGAGTTATCGACAGTTAGCAGAGAAGAGTGGCGTGCAATCTTGGAAGCTTGAAGATGAGCCCAGAGACTACCGAAAATTGTAAACACTTATGGATATGATGAATGTGCAATAATGAAACGTGATCATGGAGCCAAAAATCATGGATATGCAATTATAACTTCTGATTTGAATATTAACCGCTGAGGAGCAGTTACGTTGTGTAATAAGCTATATAGGCTGTTTTTGAATCGTTGTAGAGACCCCTGATCATCAACACAAGCAATGTATTTTTCAATTTATCAATTTGACTTTCCAGTTGATGTACTTAGTTTCCTATGGAGTAATTAGCGCTAGTTCTTGTTGTGGTTACGCTTAATACTTCCTGTCCGAATCGCCATGAAACCGATTAGATCCAACCTTCGGTAAAAAGGTTATTTCTGTCGCGTGGAGCCATGCCCCGGCGAAACAAAGTAAGACCTAAACGTTTATATCGATGACATCAACATGAGATTTTTTAGATTTGCTCGAAGCCCTCAAAAGCATTCGTTCTTCCTGTCAACCTCACCGAATAAGGAGCACTGGACCTTCCTTAATGATCCCCAGTTTATTATAGTGGAGGTGCCGGAAGGACGACGAAGGAGGACATCAAATCAAAAAGAGAAAGAAGCGTCCACGAAAGTTTGAACGGTAGTTGGAAAAGATGACAAAGAGGACATCACATCAAGAGAAAGGAAGGAGGAGCGTACACGAAAGTTTGAATGTTAGTTGGAAAAAGTTGGCTTTGGACAGGAACGCTCGTGTCTCGCCGATACCCCCGGCCCTCGGAAACCTCTGAAAGTCAGGTTTGACTCTTGGAGGCACCATGAGGGCACGTGAAAGAGAGGCTTTGTCGACCCAAAAACCAAAAGAAAGAGAGCCTGTGAGGCCTCGGTTTCGTTGCAGATGCAAAAGCCCATTTGGAAGAGAGAGCTGCTGGACCGAGGAACGAAAGAACTGTTGATCGGGGGGACTTGGACTCTTCTCCCCTATGACAGCTTCCTCTGTCATGTTCCTGAAGAGCAATCTTGAGATTGGGAAGGGTTTGCCAGGCCTTCGATCGAACGTGTTGCTGGCAATGGTAGCGGTGCCTTTCTCTGCCATGATAAACGGCATCCAAACAGCCCTCTTTTTTATGAGTATGATGGGTGAAGAATACTTCCTGATGCTGAACAGTGTTCAGTATGCAAAGCTTGCAATTTTATCAGGTTCAAGAAGCCACGAGTAGAGTGGCAAACATTTGACTCTGGCTTTCTCTCGATATCCTGAGGCACTCCTTTTATGTCCTGGCTTATCATCTATAACAGGTTGCCCGCGAAAGATCGAACGATCTCCTGGTGTTTAATTGTCGATCCCGCTCTACCGTCTATGTGGAGTTGCAAATGAAACCAGGGACCATTTAGGATGCATTTGATTCGGTTTCTCTAAAGTCCCTTGGGTCATTGCTGGAGTGTTTAATAAATATTTTAAGAGTCCATTCGGGGAAATGCTAGCATTTCTAAAGTCCTCCAAAACTCTCAAGGCTTTTACCTCAAGGCTACTACGTACCAGCATTGGGTATTCAGGATATGAAATTTTTTATATCACTCTTGCCCTCGTCAATTTTTCGTATTCCTCTTTTACCCCTTGATATTCCACTGTTCATCGTCTTCCCAGCAGCTCGAGATATGGTGACTTGTCTATTCGTCATCTGGCCTGGCTTGAGATCGAAGTCGAAGTCGAGGTACGAAAGCGAGATTTGGCGACTCGTCGAGGTCGAGATTTGAAGTCATGATCTTACCCCTCGGCGATTCGTCGCCTGGCCTAAGTTTGAAGTCGAAGTCGAGATGGTTTCCGACTCGTCCCCTGGCCTAAAGTTGAGATCTAGCGACCCATCGCTTGGCTTGAGGTCAAAGTCGAAGTCGAGATATAGCGTGCCTGAGGTCGCACGACTATGGTGGCCCATCGCTTGGTTGCGCGACTCTGGCGACCCCCAACCTGGGTCACGCGACGGCCATGGCCAAAGCTTGCGGCTTCACCAGAGTTATTGAGGAGGGTTCCAGATGTGGTTCTTTGTTTTTTGTTTTTTTCTTTTTAAACCAAAGTTCTTTATGCAGATAGTGTTGTATTTTATGCAAAAGCATTTCCCAAAAGCCGAACCAAACACAGCCTTATTCGCAATGATCCTTTTGCAGAAGCATTTGAGACTCGATTCTTCAGCCATGCAATATCCAAAGAGTGCCTGGTTGGTGGAAAGATGAGTCTTCTACCAGTTTTAAGGGCAAATCTCTTCCCTGTTTTCTACAAAAACTTGCTTGGAATGCTTTTCACTATCATGCGTGGAGAATTACGAACTCCAGAATCCACTCTTCTCCTAGCCATACCAGTGATAAGGTTCTTCATGCAATTAAACACGATGTTAGGTACCTCTACATAACACCAGGAACATTACTTTTGACAGAAATAAGATTTGAACTAATGACATCTTGCTTCGACGAACGCGGGATCTAATTCTGACATATCCGTCTTAATTGGGGGATAGCTTGCTAGCTTGTTGCTGGTTTCATGGGGGCTTGTGGCGATGGAACAAAGCTTTCTTACTCACAGAAAACAAAAACAAAAGAGCAATTGACAATTGAGGCCACACGAGAGAGAGCACAAACTCTTCTCAAGTGACAAAGATGAGCTCCCAAATGGAGGAGGGTCCAGGAGGTGCGAAAATCAAAGGATTTGAAAAAAGGAAGAGTCGCACTTTTTTGGCTGGGACAAAAGTCGTTGTCCCATTTTGTTCAAACTAGGATGATGTGGGGAAAATGATTTGGTTTTTTTTTGGCTTTCCAAACATGGAGAATTCAACCGCCCAAAATCTTACAGATTTTCCGTTTTCTGTCTAGGATCACAAAATCTCCCAATTTCCATCTTTGAACGGGCACTTTACATGGCCCAGGTTTCTTTGGATCCAATGTTGAACGGATACAGGAAAACAATCTCTGCTTGACATATTGTCCCTTACAGGCAAAAAAATTCCATTCCACATGACCAGAAAAAGCATTTGAGTTAGAATTACGAGCCGCTCGAATCAACCGCTTTTTCAAGTTCAAGCTCGACCCGATTTAGGTACTTGGATTGACTTTAACTTAATGAAAATGAAATGCAGTCGAGTTTGTGGTATCGCACACGGCGAGCTCGCTCGCACCCCTTGCGGCGTAGCACAAAAAGGAGTATGCGTCCGTCATCAAAAGATTAACAAAAAAAAAAGTGTTTTATATGACGGTTGTATGACGAGAGAATAATTACACAAATGGTTCAAGAATTTTGAACCTAACGTGCAATATCGTCTCTAAACTTTTAATTTGTTCGTCTCTGAATTTTTCGTACATGTTAAATCTAGTCCCTGAATTAATTGAAAATGTTCAATGTTATCCCTGAACTTGATTGGTTAGTCAAAAGGGAGGTATATTCAATTCACTTTTTTAAGCAAAAAAGGAAACGGAATTCATTGCCGGGGACCCACTTGGAGCCGTTACACGTATGGGCCTCCACCGTTTTGCCAGCGTGGCACCGGACTTTTCGAAAGGCGCTACCCCTTCCTTTTTCAAAATCAGTCGACCGTTACGTCCCCCCCCCCCTACCTTCTCCTCTCCCATCAAAAGCACCCAGCGTCCCTCTCTCGTTGCTTTTCACTCCCACGCGCACCCACAGTGTCCGGTCAGGAAATGGCAGCTGAGCATTCCTTCTCCGAGCCGGAGATGGAGGTCGACGACAGCCTCGGGTACCCGGTCGCGTATGGGAAGCTCTGCCGAGACCGCGGCGCCAGCCCGTACGCCCACGGCCCGCCGTTCGCCTTCACGCCTCACGCTCTCCCGCCACATGCGGTAATTTAAGCTTGTTCCTTGAAAGAAAAGAGAAAAATTGAGTGGAAATGATATGATGTGAACTTGGTTTCTTTTTTTCTGGGCAATTCTCGGTAAATCTGCTCATGGGGCAAATTAAGGTTTCTAGAATTGAAGATTCTTATTTGGGTTCTCTGATTTAGCTGCATCTAGTTAGCTAGCTGTGGAAAAGGTGTTGGCTAGCTTGAATGGAAGAGGGATTGCTCATATTGTGTGCTCCAGAGATCGATGTGTCCAAGCTTTCTGTGAGTTTAATTGAAGAAGGAACCAACTGTACATTAGTCTGAGACAATTGCCTTTAACTATGTGAAGCTGATTAGCCTGTCCTGAAATGGAAATTTTCATTGAGTGAAAACTGCTGCAATTCTGCGGGTGACAGTTCGGCTTATCGTGTTTCTTCTCTTCTGTCCCTAGAAGTATTCAGTAAGTGAAGATGAGAACACATAAATATAAATGGCCTAATTGATGACTTCTCGCTGAGATGCCATGGCCTAACTAGTTTAAACGGCGTGTTCGGAGAAAATTCACATCACTTACGACCTCATCAGTAGCTCTCAGCTTCTGCGAGAATCGTGCTTCCACCAGTGAACTCAATTTCGATTCTTTTGTTGCCAACGTAGTTCGATTAATTGCTAGGATTTTATAAGTGGATTGTCTCTCAGTTCTCTACCAATTGAAATGAAATGGGTAGGTTGGAAAAAAATTTCTAAATGTTATTGTTAACTGTTGTTAGTAAGTCTTGCTGCATGTGTGTGACTATGTCATGAATGAATTATTTCATTGGGTGAGATCTTCACTGGCTACTGTTCCTGCCTTTTCATGTTTGGTTTTATGACTTTGAAGGCTGCAATGGTAGAAGATTTGGAGCTGATGTTTCCGATAATCAACCCAAAAGCAAAGCCTACTGCCAAGCCAAAGATCTTTATCAGCCTCCTGTGGAAGCAACTTAACCATCTTGGGTATTCACTGGATTTACCAAAATATTTTATGAGTGAATTTACCTCCAAAATGCCATAAAAGAGTTTTCATAAGTTAGCAAAACAGACCTAGTATAATCATCTAGTCACAATATTTTGAGATACATTGTCTCTTGATGCAGGAATGCCGGCTTTGATCCTACGGTAATTCGAGTGGACCCTTATGGGAATGTTCTCTATTATCATGCTGATTCGGCATCTCCGCTCGCCTGGGACATTGATCATTGGTTTCCTTGCTCAAGTCTGTAAAACCTCTCTCTCTCTCTCTCTCTCTCTCTCTCTCTCTCTCTCTCTCTCTCTCTCTCTCTCTCCAATTCTAGATATGAACTATCTATATGCAGGAGGTGGGTTGACTGTTCCAAGCAACTTGAGGATATTGCAATGGCAAGCTTGCAAGAAAAAGCATAACAAATTGGAATTGCTAGTTCCATGGTGGGATTTCCAATTAGGCATCTCTGTGAATCAGTTCTTATCGATCTTTGCTTCATCGAATTCAGATTTCAGGTGGTCATTGTACCATTAATTTGCTTTTCATATCAATGTAAGGCGCCAAAACTATGAGTACTCAAGACACATCCTTTCAATTTTGGCAGGCACAGAGCATTCTCGTTTTTGTTCTTGGAAGGTGAAAACGAAGAAATAAATGCCTCCCAAACAGTAGAATCACACTCTTTTCCTCAGCACTTTATCGAATCAAAAGAGAGAGTTGGCTTAGCTCCGGCTGCCATTGTGGTTTCTCGGAGGGAGTCTCGTGATTCCTTTTCGAATTTTATATTGACCGATTCTAATAGAAAACAGAGGGCACACAAGGCTATGATGGGTAAGTAGGCTTCCCTCTCCACTTATGCTTTTAGTGCCTTTGTTAGAGCAGAAAATTTATGAGACCTCTTTATTTTCATTTTTTATGATTATTATCTTATGTATCTTACTCACCAACTGAAAGCCAACAAAATTCACCAGAACATAATCTGTGTGAAACATAGGATTACTGATTGAAAACTAAATCAGCTTATCATATATAAGTAGATATGAGGTGAAGCTATTTGTGAACAGGAGAGAATTGGTTCAGTTTGAGACAAAGATCAAAAGTTAATTTTGATTGCACTGAGGGGGGAAGGAATATTAAAGTTTAATGTTGCCCACAAATGGGCATCTCATTATGAATTTGGTTCGCTATTGTGATGAATGACCTCTGTTAGTTTTATCGTTTCAGTGGCCAGTAAGCTGAATTCCAGCCCGCTGAAAGAAAATGAAAACCCGAATCAGTTGAGAAATCCGTACCAGGAGATTGTCTTGGCTAGAGATTCACTAAGACGAAAGGACGAGGCGACAAAAATGCAGGCTGAACTAGCAGAACTTGATGAAGAAGTCAACCAGATGAAGAGAAAGAATGAAGAGGAAAAACTTGCTATTCAAGACTTGGAACTAACCCTGATAAAAAGGAGGAGGAGGGCTGAAAAGTGTAGAAGACTAGCAGAGGCACAATCTTCGTATAGAACGATGCTGGAGAAGATGATTCGAGATGCTATGCATCAGTAAGAGTCCTATACCTCTCTTTATCTTCTTACCTTTACTACAATCCAGTTATATATAATTTTCTGTCTGATCGTCATTTTGCTCAAAAGTCGGGAACAAACATGATTTTCGAGATTATAATGCGGTGATGACCATACTTTTACAGTTGATAACTTCCACCCCATTCCTCAATTTGTCGAAAGCAATCAATAAGTAGACAAATCGCATCTTTATTTTTTGTGGCAAAATTTAAATTGTTAACAATTTTCCTTTTCTTTTGGCTTCAGGAGTGTCATCTATAAGGAGCAGGTGAGACTGAACCAGGCTGCAAGTAATGCACTAATGGCAAGACTTGAAGCCCAGAAAGCAATATGTGACGCATCTGAGAGAGAACTCCACAAAATCCACAAACAGAAGGATGAAATTGCGCAACAGGTTCGTCCCGAGTGGGAGCAAGCAAGAAAGAGGTCCAGAATGGATGATACCTTACTGATTGACGAGAAAGACAAAAAAACGATCTTATATTTACCAGGAATCAAGCCGAGGACACCGTTACACAAGGAACTGAGACTCTTCCTAGAAGAGGAACATAAAGCAACCAAAGCTCGATTTTCTCTCACTGGAGAGCAAAATCTAGAAGAAGCACAACAGGGACACCAATCAACTGCGAAAGATTCCCATGAAGAGAGTCCCGAAGATTGTCCTGCAGTGAAGGATCAATCTACAGGACAGTGTGAACCGGAGGTTTCAGGAGAAGGAGAAGGGAAAAGGCACAGCATTTTATTCCCTGCTTTACAAGAAACAGAAACTGAGGAAGATGGAGAGAGCAGGAAGCAACGTGGAAAAGCCAATGTTGAAAGATGGCTGCACATGCTGCTGGAGAATACTAAAGATGAACTGAGCCCTCGAAATGAAGATGAAGGGAAGAGAATGACCAGTGATGAAATAATCAGGAAGATGGACCATAAGTTCCCACAGAGAGAGGAGGAGAAAAAGTTCTCAGATTCACAGGATGATGCGGGTCTTGGAAAAGCTCAGGTGGAGAACAAACAGAAAGAAACTCAAGAAAAAGAAAGTGAGATAAAAGAAGAGATTGTTGAGACAACAGAGCTGGTTAAAGCGCCTTATGTAAGAGGCCAAAGGAGTGAAGTAAGCCGCCACGGTGTTGTAACAACTGTAAGTAATGAGAACATTGAGGGGAAAGAGAGAGGAGAAAAGTCTAAAAAAGAAAAGGGGCTCGTGAGATCAGAGAGTGCAAGGATCCTTCGACGGATTCCGTCGTCACCATCTGTGATCCTGGGGCTGAAAAAGGGTGTGGACTGCATCAGAAAGAAGCCCATGGTGGTTGATGACATTGATGGGGATGAGAATTATGATGCAGAGAGCAATTTCATCAAATCATCCTTCAGGACAGTCAGGAGAGCTGTCAATTTATAAACCCCTTCACTCAGCAGCTTCTCTATGCATTCATTTGTACTTAAAATATTCCGTTTTATGGGGTGCTTGCCAACGACTCCATTTTATAAATAATTGTGTGCAAAGTTTGGATTTTATGTTTCATTTGTTCATTGAAACTGGTTGTGTAAGCTTGTTAACGGCTTGGTTCGATTTCAATATCCCAAGTTCTTGGCTATATTTTTTTTCAAGGTTCTGTCTTTGGCAACTAAATGTGCAGAGATTTCCAATCAATCCTTTAAACTTCATTTCATGCATAACACAGTGAAGAAATACTAAAAGAACAGGGAAGCATATCAACCTCCAAAATTTGATGTGTTAGATAGCCAGTAGGGAATTGTACAATTAATTACAAAAATGGAAAGATACAAGTTCAAACTGATGAGCCTTATACTAGCATCTCTCAGCTTCAAGAGCCAGCACAATTGTCAGACCATACACCATCCAGTCATGATGAACTTTGCATGCTTCAATACGCACGTTTCAGTTTCAAGAGCCAGCACAATTGTCAGACCATACACCATCCAGTCATGATGAACTTTGCATGCTTCAATACAGATGCTTTCTTTTGGGTATAATTCTTTTCATTTCACATTACTAATAAGTTTGACCCTGCGATGGCGAGGAAGCACAACTCACATAAACTGCTGTCTACGAGTATAATTGCAGTATGTCCTAGAAGAGAGTATCAAATGAAGAGAACCTTGCTCTAGCTACATCTATGTTGCTTGCTTTCCCCAGTAACCTTCATCACCACAAGAGCAAGCTCCATCCTTAAAATGGTGAAAATTTTCTGTATCCCTAACAGATATTTGTCTGCGGACCACCTTCGAAATAAACTTCACTATATCATGACAGCTTTGGCACATGAATAGATTCTTCGTCACCCGTATAGGCATCCCTGGAGCAGTATTGGTGAGCCCAAATGCAACGGCTTGTCTCTCACTATGTCCGCAGAAAATTTCTGCTCTTGAAGCTTCAATCTTATCAACAGAACTATTGTCTAATCCGCCAAAACCATCTATCTTCATTTTCTCACAGAATCCCTCTATAACTGCATTAATTTCTGATTTCTGAGGGTGACAATTATCACCACCGAGGAAAGCATGAACTTTCCCTTTCACCTCTATCCAACTGCACCCAGGATCTATAGTCAGTCCCTTCTCTCTCATAAATTTTCTGACTTTCGCAACTTCATCCCATCTGCCAACGTCAGCATAAAGATTAAACAACAGAATATAATAGCCCACACTCTTTGTATCTTTTTCAAATATATGCCGAGCTGCAAGCTTGCCAAGATCAACCTGCCTATGAATTCTACACGCATTAAGCAAAGCACCCCATATGGCTGCATCTGGAGCTACGGGCATTTCCTGAATAAACTCATATGCATCCTCTAACTGCCCAGCACGACCTAGTAAATCAACCACGCATGCATAATGCTTCAAATTTGGAGTAATAGAGAATTCATACTGCATTTGCTGAAAGTATTCCAACCCTTCATCAACCATTCCAGATCTGCTACAAGCACATAACAGTGAAATGAAAGTAATTTCATCTGGGCATACGCCAGATATGTTCATTCTATGATAAAGATCCAAGGCCAGCATCCCTTGTCCTCGTTCTGCATAGCCCGTCAAAAGAATATTCCAAGATGCAACATCCCTTTCATGCAAGTTAAATTGATTCCATGCAGATCCCATCCGTCCACACCTAACATACATATCCAGTAATGCGTTGGGCAAGAAACCATGGAATGCCAGTCCATTTCTTAATACATGTGCGTGAATCTCCTTGCCGCACATCAAAGCTCCTATTCGAGAACATGCAGATAAGATAGAGATCAAAGTAACGGCATTGGGCTCCAATCTGAGTTTCATTTGCCGAAAGAAAATCAGAGCCTCGAAGCAGCGGTTGTTGATCCGAAGCCCAAGGATGATAGAAGTCCATGATATCACATTTTTCTCTGGAATACTGTCAAAAATGTCCAAGGCCTTGTCTATGCATTTGCATTTGGAGTACATGTCAATGAGAGTGTTCGCAACTATTGAGCACGAGATGAGCCCCGTTTCATTTGCAAGTTCGTGAAGCTCAGTTCCAACGTCCAAACAGCCTAAAGAAGCACAAGCAGAGAGAACGGTAGCTATAGTGATCTCATCGGGTGCCACACCAGCTTCTCCCATCATTTTGTAAGTCTCTATCGCTTTCTCATGAAGCAAATTATCCTCGAAACATGAAATCATCGATGTCCAAGAGACTACGTCTTTACATTCCATTCGAGAGAACACGTCCTCGGCTTCCTCCCACTGCCCAATACTTGAGTAAAATTGAATCAACGAATTAGCAACTGAAACATCATCACCTAATGCTGTTCTTATCACATAACCATGAATCTCCCTCCCTATCTTCCCATCCATAAGAATCTCACAAGCAGAGACCACACTCGTCATGGTCATGATATCAGGATCGATGCGACATTCAAGCATCCTAAAGAACTGTCTCAATCCTTCATAACATTCCCCATTCTCTATATACCCAGATATCATAGCATTCCATGAAATTCTATCTCTTCTGGACATTCTATCAAATACTAAACGCGCACTCACAACATCGCCGCATTTCATGTACATGGTAATCAAGGCATTAAGAACATCCACATCCGATTCGAACCCATGTCTAATAACATGCACATGAACCTCCTTCCCCCTTGCCAAGTCAGGCACACCACCACAAGTTCTCAAAACACAAGGAAATGTATAAACATCAGGCTTTATCCCAACCCACAGCATCCTGTGGTACAAATCCAAAGCCTCATCAAAGAAACCATTTTTAGCATACCCACCGACCATGATATTCCACGAAAACACATCTCTCTCGTTCATTCTGCCAAAAACGTACCACGCATCGGCCAAGTTGCCGAACCTCACGAACATGCTCAACAGAGCATTACCCAGCCTAATGCTCAGCTGGGTGTACACCTCCAACACATAGGAGAACACGAGCGCCCCTTCATCATAGGCCCTCTTGTGCTCACACAGCCTCGAGAACGCGATGAAAGAGTCCTCCTCGACGCCAGACTTCAATTCTTGCATCGAGTTCAAGCATCCCAGGGCTTGCTGGAGGTCACCGCGGAGGCACAGCTCGCACAGGTAAGAATTCGGGTTCTGGGTGTTGAGGGAGCCGGTGTTGAGGACCGACACTTCCCGACACTTCCTCAGACCAATTCGACGACTTCTAGGACCGGGAGGGAAACGCACGGTCCTGGGATGATGGGTTCGGGGGGAGGAAGGATTGGGATGGTCCTGGTGCGGAGAAATTGGAGATGTGTTAGCGGGGAGAGCCATTCTTGAAGGTGCAGAGCATGGTTCTTCTTGGATGGGAGGAGGGAGGGATTTGCGCGAGGTTTTGCAGGAGCGCAAGAAGATAAAAAAAATCGCAAAAGCCACAGAGAAAGAGAAAAAACACGAATGAACAAAAAAGATCCGTTCTTGGTTTTGTGCTTTCGAGATAAAACGTCTCTTAACGACTTAAACTGAATCTCTCTCTTTTGAATTAACAGAGAGGCGCTCTAATCCTCGTAAGGATGAGTCAATTGATACCTATAAAATCAGTCGAAATCTTAATATCAAAATCAATTAATTAGATGTGAACTTTGATTTTTTTCTTTTTATGAGATACGTGAACTTTGATTTAGCTGTGTGAAATTTTATGTATTTCGAATTTTTCACGCAATATCTTATATGACATGCTAAGGGCACGTTTCGAAACCCAATTGAGCAATGAAAATTGAAAATTCGGAATTTGATGAGATTAAAGTTAATTTGATGATCTTAATTAGTAGTGACTCAATGAGAAAATCCACTCAATGTGGTAAATAAGGGAGAGGTTAATTGATTCATTTGATGGCAAAAACAATTGATGGCAACTAGAATCTTGCTAAAAAGTATACCAATATTTGTCGTTGTTCTAGCAGTCTTTACTACGTTTTGAATGAGCATTTACCGTAACCTATCCCTCACTAGTCCCTACTATGAATTCAAAAGCTTCTCTCTGTTTTCCCCTCTGCAAACCTCCAATCACCAGCAGCCTCCAATCCCTACCAATGAAGAATCATAAATACTGGGATTGAATGTAATAATACAAGTCCATACATCAGCAAGCACCTAATCACTAGGATGCCAAAGGAACTTAAAAAATGCTCAGATAAGTAAACACCTTTGCGTTCTTCTCCTCCTTTTAATCAAACAAATGTCGGTATGTCTATGGTTCTGACTCTGCTTCTCATCGGCATCGGCCTGATGATTATTCTTTCTCACTCAATGGTACAAAAAACATGTACGACAGATTCATGACGATTTGCCAGGGGAGTCTCCTGCAGCGGGTTTCAACGTTAAATCGCTCGCCAGAGAACCATTCCCGCTCTCGTCTTGAGCCACGACCGGTATCTTTACTGCGGCTCTCTCCAGCTCCTTCTCGAGTTCTTCCTCCTGACGTAATGCGGTGAACTGGGAATCGAGAGACTTCGCCGCAGCCAACCACGCGAGCACGATCACCATAAGGATTCCTCCAAGGTAAGGAGTCGAATTGGCGAGAGAGCCGAAGGTTAAGATCATGAATTGCTGAATCAGAGCACCTCCGGATTTCCCCAGCGGGTTGCACACGACATCAATGGCCGCTTTCCCTTTAACCTGAAGCAAGCATTTAAAAATTGCTGAGTGAATGATCATGCGGGAGGTATAAAAGCCTAAGCGCGAGTTTTAGGTAATTTTCTAATGTTTTCATTTCTCATGAATTTCAACAGTCCAAATCTTCTCCTAAGGCAGCTTTGGCCATAGTTTCGAAGTAAACTTCCTGTCCATACTTTTCATAAATAAGATGACTGAAATTTAAAGAGGAAAAGTGACAGAGAAAACTCTTGTGAGGGAATGGCAAGTAATTAATCTGAACCTTGGTGTCCTCATCCAAAGGAATATAAGCCATTTCCTTGCAGGGGTCAAATAAGCTGTACTTGGCGCTCTTGCTGAAAATGTTCTGCATGGCACCGACGTATACAGCAGCAAGAAGAGGAGTCACCCCAAACTTCGCAAGAGTTGGTAAGAGTGGATCACCAAATAAAATCAGAGAAAAGAACGCGACTCCTGTCACGAGCAGGACGGTTGGTGTGATCTTGGCTGCGACTCCCCATCCGTATTTGTCAAATACGTATTGACTCAGTAGCATCATCGTGAAGGTAGCTATTCCAGTTGCGGTTGAGAAATCGCCCATGAAGGAAGAATACTCATTCGGACTAGGAAACTGCAAGAAGAGTGGAAGGCACAAAAGTTACGAATTGAAAGAACCTATTAACAGTGAGACAGGAAGAGAGAAGCTTCATCAAGATTTACCTGAGCTTTGAGCTTGGATTTCCATGTAACCTCAACTAGATTGATGCTAATACCATATGCAACAACCAATGTGGCAAGATCTCTGATGTACCTTGAAGACACTAAGAATTTCAAGCTCTCCATGGTTCCCATCTTGGGTTTTTCCTGCGAGATTAATGGAAAGTCCGATCAGCTTACCTCACTGGCTCTTAACTGATGGTCTGAAAACTAGGAAGTAATAAATATACTGATGTAGAGGATTACCTTCTTCTTCTTGCTACGAGATGGCAGAGGAACAAATGTATTTACCCACCAGTAGAGTCCGCAAATAGCAAGCCCCATTACCACCACAATACTCATCATCGCTTTCAGGGAGATAGCCCAACCATCAACACCAGGACCTAAGCTCTTCCTCATATTGGAAAAGTATTTGACTGTCCGGCCTGAGAAAATAAGAGCAACATTTGCTCCAAGTCCAAAAAGAGGGTAGAACTTTTTGGCTTCTTCCACAGTAGTTATCTGCAGACCAAGCATTTCTGGTGCATTAGCACATGGTGTCGAGCGCTAAAAATGCATAATTAATACACAGTGAACCCAATTCATCCAATATCAGAAACCAGAGCTAAAATGGCACATAATAACAGAGACAATTGGAGCAGTAGCAGTAAGATTAATTGGCTATACTAAGCTATCGGCATAATCTTCTCCTGCGAGGAATTAGAGAAGGCCATCACAGAATAGCCCAGGATTATTTGGTCACTTAGAATAAAAGCAGGACATCATTTGCTCAATCTCCAAAGTAATACCAGAAAAAGTCCTAGTAAACACAGAAGTCGGAATTTCTAGGATAACAAAACATAATATTGACTAATGGGAGCACAAACAATCTATAGATCAAACACCGAAAGAGATACTCTTTCATGACTCAATCAAAACATAAAGCACCCCCCCTCGTCAGACAAAAGGGACACTCGTAAATTACTCAAATATCTTTGAATTATACAGAAATAAGACAACTTATGTAGCATATGAGATCGTGATATTGATTTCCTTCCTTACCTTTGACTTATGCGAGACTAAGAGAAACAAAATGCCCTCTAAATTAATGGAAGTTTCTACACACAACACAAAATGAGATCCACTAGCCAGAACCAATGATAGAACTAGAATAGATACGATTCCATTCACAAGCCAGAAAGATAAGGAACTACATAATATCTCATTCACTAAGCAGAGAGATTTTCTTTTCTTTTTTTTAACTGCAAGTGTATAACAGCAAGATAAATGTTCCTCGCCTGATTGGCAAATCCCCAGAAGAGGACCGAAACCACAACGCTGCCCCAGAGCTCAGCCATAACGTAGAACAAGCAGAAGCTCCATATCCTCATAATGGCAAGTGGACCGAGAAACCTCGGCCCAAGCATTCCAAGAAGCTTGTCCGCAAGAGCTTCAGGGTGAATATAACTACTGAGAGGATAAAGAACAAATCCAAAAGCCCCAAAGAAAGCAATGAAAGGAACAATCACAGAGTAGAAGAGAGCCTGCTTTGTCATCACATTGGCCAATTTCGTGTACAACAACATGAAACCAATCGCCATAGGCAAATTGACCCACGTTTTAAGAAACGGAATGATTTCTGCACTGCTTCCTTTTGCTGTGACAACCAACACATCTTTGGTGTCCCTAAGGATTGTGTAATTGAACAATATGCAAAAGAACATTAACCCAAGTGGGATAATCTTCTTGAGCGTCACAGCCTCAATGCCCAAGAACTTGGGCTTCTCAGGCTCAGCAAACAAAGGCTGCCCCTCAGCTGCCGCAGCTGCTTCAGCCTTGCAAACGTGAAAGCTCCTATTTTTCTGGTATATTCCACCGGGTTTGGAGATAGAGCCACTAAATCTATGAAACCCATTTGAAGATAAAGGAAACCCAGGAAGCGCCTGTGGCTTTAGTGACAAAATTCGGTGCTTTAGGCCTTGAGATGGATTGAACAACCTGCTTCTCGGGTTTGGTGGGAGAGATACGAGACCTCTGGTTTTGAGAACAGCTTCCATGTCTCTCTCTCTCTCTCTCTCTCTCTCTCTCTCTCTCTCTACGTTATCCCTTCCAGAATCTCCAAAAAACTCTGGTTCTTCAAGAGGAGAACATGAGACAAGAGGGACGAGGAAAGGGGAGGAAAGGAGATAAGGTGGCTGGAGAAGATTGATTTCTCAGAGAGAGCTGTGATAAAAATGATAGCTTTTATAGCATTTCACACACAAAACCCTCAGGGTTTTAAAGAACATAACGCCTATGTTCTCTCTCTCTCTCTCTACCCTCCCTCCCTCTCCTTCTGTTCTTGATTTTTAGCAGATCCTGATTATCAGAGGTAATCTACTCATCAGCTTTCCTAAATTATGCAAATCCAACTTCCTATGCAAACAAATCCTCTTTGACTGTAAGAATTGCTCGGCTCAAGCCTGAATCTTTCGACGGAATGGCAAAGAGAAATGCATTTGCTTAAAGCACCAATAGAGAGAGAAAGAACAAAAAAAAAAAGAGCAGAAAAAGGAAAATGGCCAAGATAAGACAAGAGTTGCCGAGATTCTGATGAATTCAGAGGCAACCTCTTTAAGGAATTTAATAGTATTGCTGTCTACGGCTCTCTTTCGTCGACTGTGAGTCACAGAACAGGACTGCTCCAAGGAAGTTTCCTTAATCTTCGTGCTTAGTGAGTAATTAGCCGCGTGATTCCAATGGGCATAGGCACGATTAATTTCATGACTCCTAACTTCTCTGTCCTCGCTCTCCTTTTATCTCAGAACCTAGATCCTTTGAAATTTGATAATTAAGCTCCGTTTATTTCACGAAAAATGATTTTTTAAAAAAAGTTTTCTAGATTTTCCAACATTTGGTTCATAGAAATATACTAATCAAGGAAAATATTTTCGATCAATGGAAAAAGACCTTCAAAGTGAGAAAATGATTACCATTTTTTGAAAAGAGGAAATCATTTTCCCCTTCTCCTCGGTGCATTCCCATATCGTCTCCGCCTGCAAATCTGCCCTTGACAAGAGACCATCCCCTTCGCCTCCGCCGCTAGTCCCACCCTCGCCCCGGCCAATCCTCTCTTTCCCTTGCTTGTCCTCACCCTCTCCAACGCCAATTTCGTCCTCCCTTTCCCTTGCTTGGCCTCACCCTTCTACCTTAATGGGGTAATAGTGACTTCCACATGAATAGTCAAAGAACTCAGTATGAGCACCAGGGTCTCAAGCCCGGATCCTTGATTCCCAAGCACCAGCATGTGCACTGGTCTTGGGTCCACCGAAACCGAGCCCGAGAACTCGATGCCCATGCTTGGCTCCCTAGCGCTTCAACCAAGGTCTATAGAGACCAGGCCCAATATCCCCCGGCCTCAATGGACCTGGGCACAACCTTGCTGGACTCAAGGTCCTCGAGTCAGCCGCGATGGACTCAACCCGGGTGCTAGGGACTCGACTCTGCTGCCAAGGGCCCGGAAATGAGCGTTGGGTTTCTGTGCCCAAGCGCAAAGTTATAAGTCTAAATATCAATACATAGTCACATTTTGAAAAATGATTTTAGATTTTTTAAAGAGTAAATCATTTTTCTAATTTTAAGATTTGGTAGGAAAATATGTACCGTTAATTCATTTTTCTAAAACAATCTAAACGCCGATAAATAAGGAAAATATTTTCCTCAAAAAAAACACAACCAAAAGTTGCAATATTTTTTAGTTTACCTAAATCGTTTAACCTTGTAATGTCGTTTGCCAGAGGGTTAGAGAGGGGAGGGACCAATGTATATTTTTTTTTACTTTCGAGGGACATTACTAATATATTTTCAAGAATTTATTGACAAAGCAAACAAATCGAGGGATAGTTGCCATGATTGAATCTCGGATCTCCACGCCAAGACTCGAGAAGTCCATATAATAAAGAAAATAACAACAGGGTAATCAGTTTAATGAGAGTTTAGAATGAAATATGCTCAATTAATTGACTCAATTTACTTAGTCGAAAAGATCACGACACCCCATTATCTCTTTGTATTTACATAACATGTCATACCTCAAAGAGCTTAAATTAAATCAATTTATGTTTCCCAAATATGTGTTTATATAATGTCTGGTTTGTTATATACTGTTAATGTAGCATGTTGTCTAACTTCGTTTTAGGAAAAATAACACAAAACAATTCCTAAACTTTAATTCAATATGCAATGTGGTTCCTGAACTTTTAATTTGTCAATTTAATCCCTGAACTTTAGCACTGCATTGAACATTTTCATATAATTCAGGAAATACATGGAACACGTATCAAAAATCAAGGGATTACACTGGACAAAGTAAAAGTTCATAGACCATATTAAATATTTAGTTAAAATTTAGGGACTACATTGAACAAATTAAAAGTTCATGGACTATATTGAATATTTGATCAAAATTCAAAAATTGTTTGTGTCATTATCTCTTTCGTTTCGTTTTTGTTTTTATCTTTTGTTAAAAAGCAATAAAGCCAAAATAAAATAACAAATAAATGTATAAATAGATGGGAGACATAGACAAGACATCATCCCACCTCGGTAATCGAAAGCACGCAGCCCAACACGTTATCTCCGCTTAGCTCTGGTCATTTTCGACCGTACAGATAAGACATGCTTGCGCCAATGATCAACACTCAGAATAATTCGATCCCCTGCAAAAAGTCAATTACTTTTAATATGAAAATATCACAATTTGAATGAGTTCGCCTAGGGAAGGGAAAAATGATACGAATAGTTTTGAATTTCGGTCCAATATATAACGTCGTCCTTCAAACTTTTTATTTATTTAATATGATCCCTTAATTTTTAGTGCACGTTCAATCTAATTCATGGAGCTATGTGAAAATGTTTAATATCATCATTCCATTGATACAAGTTAACGTAATTTACTGATTTGACTTCCAATCTAATACTTTGAACAGTGGGCAATTCACAAGATATTTGGCTCAAATTGCAATATAAAAATCAACGTCATTAAATAATGCGAATAATCATTTTTACAAATTAAAAGGATGACGATATTCTAAATTGGGTTGAACAACTTACGTGGACAATCCACGTGTAACCTTCTTCGTTCAACAATTCTGTCAACTCGAATTAATGGAAGGATGACATTGGATATTTTCATAAAGTCTAGGGACTAAATTAAATATTTACCAAATGTTCAGGAACCGCATTGAACAAATAAAAAGTTTGGAGACAATATTGAACATGTAAAGTACAAAGACCATTTGTGTAATTATTCCCCAAGAAACTTGGCCAAACATGACTAGTTGAAGACCCATGAAGCCTAATGTTTCTTTCCAAGAGACTCGATGGGCGAGAGATTATTACATGACAAGCAAAATCCAAATTTGAGCCCACCACCTTGAGGCCCAAATTGAAACATTACGAACTTCGGAGAAGTCATCTAACTTTCCCCAAGGCCTAAAATTTGTTCTTTGGGTCTAGCCCGAGATATCGGCCCAATCTCAAAAATAGTCTGTGTTCGCGGAAAATGAATAATTTGGAAAATATTTTCCTAAAAAATTATCATTTTACATCGCTTACAAAAACGAATGAACGAAAAATGTTCTCGTTGCCCGCGAAAATATTTAGAAATAAATTGTTGTCGATGATTGAAATATCTTCCGTCGACTAAATTATTTCAAGAGATATAAGCGATTATCTGTAGGAAAATAATTTTCAGATCATTCATTTTTCGCAAAACAAACGGAGCAGCATGAGCGCTTCGAATTCCGATCAAACTCGACCGGTTTACTTGGTAAAGCGTGTTACGTCAAAGTGACTTGGGACAAGAATTTTTGGTTCTAGATAACTTCTCACGATACTTCATCGCTTGGTTTCGATGACATAATTCATACTCGAAACCTTGCTACTCCAACTTTCACCTACCCTTTACTTTCCTTAAGGTCTCGCCAAACATTCTAGTGGGAAAAATAGGCAAAAGGGCATTTCCCAATTTATCCGGAGACGATTTGTAAAGCGAGACCTTTTGATTTTTCAATGTGTTTTTCGACATTGAAAAGCATTAGCCTTGGTCAAAAGGTCATTGCGGCGTGCCCTAGATTACGTTGTGTAATGCACATTAACGGTAGAAATGACTTTGTGGTGAAATGACTCTATCGAAAGGCCCTTGTTTCTTTCCACTCTTCTCTCGTTTTTTTGGGGGTAAGTGACATCTGATTCACGGTTCATCTCTTTCCGATTTCCAAATTACATCATCTCGGTGCAAATTAACAGCTTTAGTTTCAATAATGTCACATGCCCAAGCAAGCCAGGTGATTAATGGAGATTGGTGTAGGAATGCGAAATTAAAGATTGCACTTGCTACACCGCCGATGTAAAACAATCATATGCACGAGCGGGTTCGGGCATTCAGGAACTGAGTTGCTGACGCATATATAGTTTTTGATTCCGGTAGCTGAATTCATTCCATTAGTGTATCGGGGTTTTTCATTTCGTAATTTCTTATTTGGAAAGTATTTTATGCCGGCAATATCCCTTTCATAGATCCTCAAAGATATGATACCTGGGCATGTCAAGCCAATTATACGTGCTATAGATTTGCTCGATCGGGGTAGAGGAACATGCCGACTAGATGCGCAGTACCTATCTAATTGCCTACATAGCCGAATTCAAGATAATTAATCTCTGAGATATTTACTCGAGAATTTGGATTCGCGGCTTACCTAATAGGCTAATATACAAAACTATTAGATAATTGCCGATGGTTATGCCATATACAACGTACTTCAAGTGAACTTCCTCGTAATTGATATGTGTGTGCACATTCACTCTTATGTATGGCCAGAAAAAGAAAAGGTTATGCATATGCCTTTGTAGGTTGGATCCTATTCGTGCAACTAAAGAAAGAAGAAACAACCTGCACCAGAAATTTTTCTAAGATGGTCCATGTTCTTTACAGTTTACAGCAAAGCAGCCCTAGGAAAAGCCAAAATCGGGCCAGCGACAGAATCTCATTAAATTTGCAAATCCGGTACGACGCGAGCCAAAAGCCAGGCCGGTGGCCCCGAATAGATTCTATCCGAACTTTACAGCCCGAGAATTCGAACCCTTGTCGTGCGTCGCGCCCCCCTTCTTCAAGACCGAGCCGAGTTCCACGGCCGACGGGTGCTTTCTTCTGGTCACCAAAGGTCGGATCTTCACATCCTCGGCCCGCCGAAACGTTCATCTGACACTAATCATCCTTCTCGAGAAAGAGAAAAAAGGGGTCATCGGCACGCGAAGGGAAGATAATGGGGAATGAAATGTAGCTACCTAATCTTTGCACTTATGATGCGAGAGAAAAAACGAGGAACGGATGGATTTCGCACCGTTGTACCAACCTGGATGACACCAACCTACCTTTGTGTTGAAAAGAAGGCTCCAAAATTCAAACATGGCCTTAGGAATGCGTACGTAAACGTCAAATCTAGTGGGGCTATCATCCGAATCAGCCCGAGCTGGAAAGTCCTTCCCTAAG